TTGCTGTGACTCATCTTGAACATTTAACATTAGAAAGACTTCTTTATTGTTCTGGTTCTTTTCAAAGATTCTTCGGTGATGTTTCAAAGTGGTTTCTATCTATGGTAAAGATTTTTAACTCCCCCTTAAGATTCTATTAATGTTTGTACAGTTTAACCTGTGTTATCTGGCATGCTCAGGGATTAGGGCGTTCTGGTGATCTAAAAATTTCCGGTTATCCGAGGGTCCCATTAACCTAGGAAAAACCAATGGACAATCGTAGTAAAACTCAAGTTTTTAATATCGGTAGTTTTGTAGTGTGAGGCAGTGGGTCTCACATTTGTATTTTGAATTAAAGATGGTTAGTACTTCTTAAATAAAAAATTGTTAAGCCAGTCATGGCAAACCAAGCCAGGCCTGTGCGCCTGAAGATGTGACAATATTGTGGCTGGGGGCAATGCCAGTTAAAGTTTTCTGGTTAACAGAGTGCTGGTTAACAAAGGTTTCACTGTATCTGTGTAGTTCAGCTTACTACACTGCTAAGAATGATGGGATGTGTCTCCACAAGTCTTCGTGCCTCACCCAAGTGAGTTCAGTGCCGCGTGGGCACAGCAAGCCCTGTTACGTCACTATGTGGCCACTCTCAATTATGTTAAACTGGCTCAAGAAAGGTAACTCCAGTGTAGATAACTGATTAACTGCCAGGAAGATATACCCCTAGTTATATTAAGCTAACTCAAGCTAAGAACAAATCCTTTTTATTAGCGAAGACACAGCTAAGGTGCGATTAGAATTTAAGGGGTTGGGGATTCCTGCTTCCAAGCGAGATCCTCTCTTCTTAGAATCTAGACTTCTCATGCCCCCATGTACAGTAGCTTATAAACTCAGTTCATCACACACACATTAAAGAGATACACAATGATAACTACCATAGTGTACATAGGCCCAATGGATGGATCTAGATTACAGCACACTTTAGAGCAGAATTTTCCAAAATGTGGCCCCTGGACAATTTGCTGGTGCTCTGTAGAGAGCACACAATGCTCATCCCCTCCAAGAGAGAAAGAGAATAGGTTTTGTATGGGAAGGAGGCGGAAGATGAAATGCAGAGCAATTGGAAACACTGATATTAACTTTTTTCCAACTGGGTAAAACACCCCTCTCACATTCTGAGGTGCAAGCAAGATGAGGGTTGTGTAACCACCTGCCCTGCGGCCCTGGGTGTCTTACAATGTTGTGTGACTGTAGCTTCCACATGGGTTGTTCACAAATAGCCAATAAGCCTGAGTGTCTGGAGAGCTGCAGCCTGCTAGCAACATTGCAGCCACGCTCTCGCCTCCACAAGCATTACTACATGCAGAGAGGCCCAACACACCCAGTCCCAAATATGTATGCTCTGCGCTGTGCAGACCTCTCCTGGACATTTCGGATATGTTTGGTTCACTCTGTCGGGGAACAGTATCCTGCAGCTTACAATCTTTAGTTTAAGCACACCACTGCTTTAGTTCTGATTTAAAAAATAAAGCCAATTTGCTTTATTACAAACAGATAGATTTTAAGTGAGTACAACTATAAAGTATTCAAGTTAGAAATGGTTGTAAAAGAAACACAGAGATTAAACGCTTTCTAGAGCTAAAACATTTAAAAACAGATTTTATTCAAGGTTAAAAAAAATCATCACCCCTCATTCCCAGCCACACTGATGACCAATTTTAGAGCAGGATCTCTCCTTAAAGTCAAAGGACTGGCTCCTTTGTCGTCTTAGATATGAGAGCAAGAGAGATGAATAGGGAGAAAAAACATGGGGTGTTTCTGCCACTCACTTTTATAGCCCAGTCACCATCTGAAGCGGGTTCTTCTGAGGACTACACCTCACAGCAGTGTTTATTCAAAGAATAAAGAAAGCAACCTGAAATCTGGGGGTGAAGGTGGCTGCCTGGCCTGCTGAACCGCAGATATATCTTATCTCTCTCTTACTGACTTAAGAACCTTATTCACTACTTAAATGCAAAAGGAGATAAAGCCACATTACTTTAAGATAGACTTAAAAAACAACAGTCTGGTAGCACTTTAAAGCCTAACAAAACATGTACTACCAGACTATTTGTTGTTTCTTAAGTTTATCCTGTACAGACTAATTCGGCTACCTCTCTGAAGTTTAAGAGAGACCTTCTTAACTGGGGCTACAAGGGTTTGAAACTGTTGTACTATCATCAGCTAGGGAGAATTTTTAACTTCACATAGAATGTGGCGACCTACATTTTGCTATGATATTACTGACCAGCAAATTATTAGTTTTCACATGTTACCTCGCTAGCAGGGGTGCTGACAGCTTCTGTGGGACTTCCCAGGCAAGGTGTGGAGATGCTCACCCAGAAGGAGCTAAGTCTCAGGCCGAGGGGGGCCAGGAGCAGCCAGCCCTCCACAACGCCTGGCAATGGGTCCCTCCCAGCCCTCAGAGCCATGCAGAGTGCATGGGGCAGCACTCCAACAGTGATTTAAGGGGCTTGGGCTCTGGCTGCTACTGCAGTAGCAGAGGTAGCAGTTGGGAGCCTCAAGTCCCTTTGAGTCACCTAGCCCTGGGGCAACTGCCCCCTCTGCCCCACATCCATGTCAGTGGGCCTAGTTGGGAGCCTCAAGTCCCTTTGAGTCACCTAGCCCTGGGGCAATTGCCCCCTCTGCCCCACATCCATGTCCTCACGTGGCATATTTTGCACAAATATTATGCAAAAGAGAGTAATGAATGACTATGGGGTACATTCAGACGCAATTAGCTAGAAATACACAGTAATTTCTTATTATTTTCCATTTAACTAATTCTTGTAGCTGCCAAAACAAATCAGATGAAATGGTAAATGAGGGGAAAGTGGTCCCTATCATCATAAATTAGAGAAAGGTAAGCTATGCTTTTGCAGTGCCATACTAGGTGACCCAGAAGACATTCTTCCTACTAATACATTGTAGACACATGGAAGGCGTCCCTATCATCATAAATTAGAGAAAGGCAAGCTATGTTCCATACTAGGTGACCCAGAAGACAGTTTTCCTATTAATACATTGTAGACACATGGAAGGTAATGGAAAATCCCCTGCATTAGAGACTTATGCTAAAGCAAAAGGTGGAAAAACCCACATGCAAAGATAAAACCAAACAGATTTTTCAAGAGCTCAAAGAGAATACTCTGGTCACTTTTATCAGCTTTTAATTAAGCTGATTTTGCACTCCCTTTTCCTTGGTCTAGTCCTCTTGGAGCCAATGTTACACTGGAGTCAATGAACTGTTCACATCAGGAAGATCCCATGAATCTGTCATGATCTCTCAGATCCTTGAGGAATAGAAGGAGAAATTAAAACAAGGGAGCAACTGTGCTCAAATAAATTCAGGAGGAGACACAAGCAGAAGATCAATCCCCAGATGGAAATGGAGAAAATGAGAAGGAATAAGATCCTACAACATGACATTTGCAGGACAGCAGTAGTTGTTTCAATACAAATTTTTAAAGGCACGTTATCTTCTTGCTATCATAAGACTGATCGCACTCCCCAGTACACACCTTGTATTTCCTTTCAAATTATGCTACATCACGTTCACTGTAGCAAGTGGCTTGCTCACTGCTCACCAAGAAAACAAGAGAGTCTGCATTACAAGAGAGGAAAAAGAGGTACAAATTTACAAAATGCAGTTCAGAAATAGTGATTTTGTGTGTGTTATACGTTTATTTTACATACATATGGTTAAGCAATTATTTGTGCCTTTTAATGCGTTTTCTTTCTGCTATTTTATCACTTTAAAAATTGAACAATTTTCAAACATGGGCAAATTCATGCTTAGTTTTTATTTATTATACATAAGTAGAATTTGCATTTTAATCAACAAAAATTTGTCTGAATTTAGCAGCAACGACTCAACTAATTATTGAGTTATTCAGTGATACTATGTTTTTAGTGCTAGAGTATTATCTAGACCCCTGCTTTAAAGGTCTGTTTATTCCCACTGTTGTTTTATGTAATTTGTACTTCAGCATCTGTCTGCAATAGAATTCAACTATGGGTGGGAAGGAATCATCTCTTATGAACTTACAAAAGTCACTTAACATTATTGTGTTTCATTTTCTCCTGTTCTCCAAACTCCAAAAATGTGGAGAGACTTAATTCACTTTGGCAAAAAGTTAGGAAGTGGTTGGATGAAAAAATGCTTGCATTGCACGCACATATATATTTTTTTCATGTTGTGTTCATTACCTGAGCAGTGTCAACTTGTTAAAATAATGCCAATTAAACTACATCTTTTAAAACAGAATATGCATATTAATGTGACAAATTTCTGCCTTTTGGCCACTGAAGAAAAAGAGTATTGAAAATACATGTATGTTTTCTGGACAGCAAGTTAAGAGTTGTCCGTTAAGTGAGTGAGTGCTTTTGCTGATAGTCATAGACATTGCATTGAAATGGAGGAGCACTTGAAAATGAGTCAGATGCTGAGGTCCTTGATTATTTTTAGTTGGCCCTCATCAACGTTTGAGTAAATACTGTGGATGGAATCCCGACCCTATTGAAGTCAATATGAGTTTGGTCATGTACTTTGTTGGGAGTAGGATTCCAGTCCTTATGATTTGGTTCCAAGGCTTGAAGGATTTCTGTCATTTACTTTGCTAATTAAACTCCACTTCCTCTCTTCTGCTGCAGTTTCTATTGAAAACAATGAGCCCCACTGCATGCCTTAAACTTTTATGTAGCATTGTATGCTGCTAGAACTCCTCGGAGTATCCCTTAACAGTTCAGGGAATGACCCCCATTTTTGTCCTCTGTGGATTTGTAAGCCAGCTAAAGGAGGCCTGGATCCACCAAAAACCTACAGTTCCTCAGATGAGAAGTGCATTAGCAATGCAAAGACTTCCTTCTTATTCAAGTTCTTTTCAAAGCCTTCTTTGACCGATGATGTTTCAAAGTGGCCTTTTATTTTAGATAAAGATTTACTTCCCCCTTGAAAATCTATTAACATTTGTACTTATTGTTCTCAGGATGTGGAATACAACCATGGAATCCAACTACGAGTATACATCTCTGTATGATTTCTATAATGAACATTATGATTCTTCTACAACACCTTGCACTAAAGGCGGCGTCAAGAAATTTAGGTCACACTTTCTGCCCACACTTTACTCTCTGGTATTCCTGCTTGGCCTGGCCGGGAACTCTCTAGTCATTTTGGTCCTGTTCAAATACAAGAGGCTGAAGAGCATGACTGATGTTTATCTGCTCAACCTCGCAATCTCAGATTTGCTGTTTGTTTTCTCCCTTCCCTTCTGGTCTTATTATGCAGCCGATCAGTGGGTTTTTGGGGATGGGTTGTGTAAAATCATTTCTTGGATCTATTTGGTTGGGTTTTACAGTGGGATATTTTTTATTATGCTCATGAGTATCGACAGATATGTGGCAATAGTTCATGCTGTGCTTGCCTTGACAGCAAGAACGGTCACCTATGGCAGCATTACCAGCCTCATTGTATGGGTAGTGGCTATTTTAGCCTCAGTTCCAGAGCTGATATTTAGCCAATCTTCCCAGGAAAACAATTATACCATCTGCAAATCAGAGTACCCTGCTAACTCCATAAACTGGAGGTTTCTCTCCTCTTTGCTGGTCAATATACTAGGGCTCCTCATCCCTTCAGGGGTTATGACTTTTTGCTATTCAATGATAATTAAAACGTTGCTGTACTGTAGAAGCGAGAAAAAGAATAAGGCTGTGAAGATGATCTTTGCTGTCATGATTGTATTTTTTGTTTTTTGGACCCCTTACAATATTGTGATTTTCTTACGATCGCTGGAAGACCTAGGTGTCCTTACAGATTGTCAAACCAGCAAAAATCTGGATTATGCAATGCAAGTGACAGAAACACTGGCTTTTTTCCACTGTTGTCTCAATCCCATTATCTATTTCTTTATGGGGGAAAAATTTAAGAAGTACGTGAAGTTACTCTTCAAGAACTGGCCAGTACCCGGAATGCTTTTTAAACGCTGTGGACTTCTCAACACTTACTACACCGAATCTTCCAGTTCTTTCCACACGCAGTCTACAGGGGATCAAAATGCTCTGTAAAAATATTGCGGTGTTTACCACAGTTACAAGAAAAACTGACAAATATCAGAACATGAAAAGGAATCTCATTTAAGCTGAACAGAGGTGCCCTTAAAAATAACCCCGCACTTTAAAAAAAAAAAAGTACCATAAGCTTTCAGTTCTCTCTCTGGATTTTTTTTTGAAAGTAATGAGAAGGGAAAAAAAGAGCGAATGCGAGAGAGAGAAAGTGCTTGAGAGGTGAAACTTTGGCTAAGACTTTGGAATTGCAAAATTTATTTAATATTATTACAAATCAGTGCCAACAAGTGGCAACAACAAATACCTTTACAGTGCTATGCTTTTGGTTTTTCATCAGCACCAACAGTGAGCCCCACTAGGGGGAAAGGGACAGGGAGATCAATGGTCATCGCAAAATGTTTCAGAAATCTTGGCATATTTGAGGATTATCATATCTAGTGACCTGGCTCGACCCAGTTATTGGCATAAGATTTGTTAGATCAGAGTCTTAATATATAACAACTGTCTCTTCAGTATGCTTTCTTACTGACTGTTTCTTAGATAATGCATTTGTTGTGTCTAAAAAAACCGAAAGGTGTATGTAAGAGTCTGCTGTGCATCAGGACCTAAATTGTACATTGTTATACTTATATGCATACTTTTTTTAATACACATATACAGGCATTTTGAATTAACCTGCCACCATGTTATTTCCTAGAATAGCAGTTTTATATAAAAAAAAACATTTTTAAATAAAAATGCTTGGGTTTTTTTAAACCCTACAATGCATCCTGTGCGCATCATTTGAAACAGCTTCTGCCTACTCATATTTTAAGCCAAATTACTTTACTTAAACCCCCTTGTTAAAAAATAAGATGAATAACCCTTTGAAAAACACCCCCTCACAAAATGACATTAAGAAAATAATGTATCCAGCTGGGATGGCGAGAAGCTGCCAAGCACGACTGCACTGAGGAGTGGGGGGAAAAGGGTCCCAGGTGGGACCACCTTTGCCACTCAGCAACCTTTGGACTTCGAGCTATTCAGGAGACTGGACCTCCTATTGTGGCAGCACAAGGACCTAAGGGGGGGGCCTCTTCCTCCCTCCTCCCCAGCACCAACGTGGCCTTGACACAGCTGCTTGGCTACTTTTCCTCCTAAGCAGGGGCCTTTAGACATCCAGAGAACCTGCTTCAGTTTTGACTGGACTTTCTCTGTCCTGTTCAGTTTGCTCCAACCATTCCCCTCCCTCAGTCTCTTTGCCTCAATGACATGTCACACCTGCCCCTCTTCTCCCCTGCCCGTCCCTCTCATCTCCTTCCCCTTGGGCCGATCACTTTCCAACCTAGCCCAACGATGAAAAAAAAATGGTGGAACTGACACAGCATTTACTGTCATCAGCTAAGTCACTCTGACATACTGTAGCGGGGGCCATTCAGTTACATTCAATGGCACCAGATTTAAAACTGATTAAAAGTCTTTAAAACACTTCACTTTTGGTTTTGGGGTGCTAGACTTCTTCTCCCGCCCCTTCTCTTCTACTGTATTTAGATTACAAGCTCTTTGGGGGTAGGGCCCTTCTGCTACTCTGTTTGCACAGTGCCTAGCCCTCCAGAGCTGCCCTTAGGCACTTCTGTAACAAACATAAAGCACATGGGTTGACCCTAGGATGTCATTGAAACCAAGATCTTCACAGAAAGATTATTAGATTATAAGTGATCTTGGAGGCTGGGTGAGCTGCCCGAGCGGCCTGTGGAAACAGGCAGGAGCAACAGCTGGGCCCTGTGAGGAGAGGCCACGGCTTTCTAGGAGAGGAGACTGAAGGTGAGGCGGGGCCCATCCAGGGTGTGTGATGCTTAGGCTGTTCAGAGGGTGGCCCAACCTTTCCACTGTCTCCACACACTATCAAGCTGTACAATTTGGTAGGATAGCCCCTCCCCGCATATTCCATCCATTCTCTCTGCCCTCTCCCACAAGACAGGCTGCCATAGAATCGCCACTTGGAAAGGTCGTCGTCTGTGTGGGGTGGTCCTGCAGGCAGCCCAGCATCAGTGTCTCCTTCAGTGCCCCTCAAGATTCCTTCTCCAGCTCAAACAGGAGCTTGCAACAGGCTAATTTATTAATTTGGACTAGGGATGTTCAATTGCAAGTAATTGACTAATCAAATAGTCGATGCATTTTGCATTGACTATTCAATTAGTCAACAGGGAGCCTCTGCCTCTGAAGTGTAGCCACAGCCCTAGGGCTGTGGCTACACTTCAAAAGCAAAAGTGCCACATGGAGCTCAGGATCAGCTGGGGACTCCCTCACTGACCTCAGGCTCCATGCAGCGCTGCCATGTTGAAATACCGTGGGAAGCCCAGCATCAGGCTCCATGTGGCATTTCAAAGCGGCAGCACCACATGGAGCCCGGGGGCAGGGCACTGTCCCAGGGATCTCCCCCAGCCTCCACCCGGTGCTGCCGCTTTGAAGTACCCCGTCCTCTTCCCCTCCCCCTTGCTGCCTCTTTCTGACAGAGGCAGTAAGAGCAGGGGAGGAGGAAAGAAGCAACTAGTCATCTAGCCTGTCAACTAGTCCTTCACATCCCTAATTTGGACACCTCAGCTCACCAATTGGAGATCAGTTGAACTGACATAGGCACAAGTCTCTTCCCTCTTAAAGAGCCAATGACATTCTGTAGCAGGGGGCCATTCAGTTATATTCAATGGCACCAGATTTAAAACTGATTAAAAGTCTTTAAAAATACTTCAGAATTAACCTGTGATACCCATTACCCTAGGATGTCACTGAAACCAAGATCTTCACAGAAAGATTATTAGACAATTGTAAGGACAATGAGAATTTCCATGCAGTGTGCTACTGCTGTGTGGGGTGGTCCTGCAGGCAGCCCTTCATGCTTCAGTGCATTACCAAGCCACTGACTCCTGCGTTAAGAAGAAACCTCCAGTGTGGGTAAGTTATTTCATAAATGCCCAACATGAAGTTTCTCGCACTTTCTTCTAAAGCATCTCATACTGGCTACTGTCAAAGACGGGATACTAGGCTAGAAGGACTGTGGGTGTGATCCATCTGGGAAACTCCTATTTCCCTAAGCATGGGCAAGATGCCAATGATGAATTGGCTCCATGGTATCAACTCCACAGTAAATGCTGATGCACATACTAATTAATTGACCATTATCGTAATAAGGCCAGCCCGCAAGTAGGACTGCAAGATTGCTCCAGAGAGAATAATCCTAACTCTGCAGCCCTTATAATCATTGGCAGGTAAATCCCCACTTTAAGGGAGCAAGCTCGTTGGCCCTGTCCCATATGCTAGAGCTTTACAGCCTCCTCCCCCCATAAAAGGAAAATCCCCAAGGACTGCCCCAGACCTGAGCAGTCCCAGCCTGCCTACCAGAGCCACATCAGGCCAAGTCAGCATTACCACACCTTCTTCCCCCCAACATTAAGCTGAGCTTCAATTCTGGCACGACCTGAGCAGTCCCAGCCTGCCTACCACAGCCACATCAGGCCAAGTCAGCATCACCACACCTTCTGCCCCCCAACATTAAGCTGAGCTGCAATTCTGGCCTTGGACCAGTTCCAGGGCCTGACTGAGCTGGCAGCCTCCCTGAGTACCAGGCTGGCCCTAGTGCCAGCACTCGGGCCTGGCCAGCTCCAGCGCTGTCAGAGTTAGGCTGAGCTGGCAGCCTCCCTGCATGCCAGGTCGACCCCAGCACCAGGCCCAGCCAGCAGCCTCCCCAAACACCAGCTCCTCTTGCCCTGAAGGCCTGCACCCCTGTCCCACACTGAGCTGCCGGCTCCAGTAGCAGTCCACCAGCTCTCCGTAACACTCCTCACTCGTACTGGGGCTGAGAAGGTGGTGGGCATGGGTGTCCATTGGCTTAGGCAGGGGAAGGCTCTGCTTTCCCAAGCCAACAGCCTGGCCCCATCCACACTCCGCCCCAGAACTCCTGCTGTAGACGTACTGGGGACGGAGTGTTGCTGCCCTGGAGCACTTGCTCTCCCTGTGCTTCAAGACAGTTCGAGCCTCCCTCCCAGGTGCTTCAGGGATGCTGGAGCTCACGCGCTCTTCCCCCCCTCTTCCATGGTGGGGGGCACAGCCTCAGAGAAGGGGACAGGGCTGTATGTTGGGCTGGGGGCCTGCCTCCCACAGCCCTAGATGCACAGACTGCTCATGGTGGTGGGGACTTTAGGAGGTCTGGAGCATGGTGACGGAGGTGATTGGAGCCCATGACACACTGCACAAGCTCGGTCAAAATCCCATATAGCTGAGGGGATTGGCCTAGTGGCTAGAAAACGGAATTGGGATGCAGGAATTCTAGTTCTGCCATTGTCCTGAAAGGTGATCGCCCCTGCCATTGGCAAAACAAGGATGGTGATGCCCATTAACTTCCATGTAAAGCCCTTTGCACACTGCTCCTGATGAAGCTAGCATTGAGGACAGCTCTGAAAAGAAAGCGCAGCTTTCAAAGTGTCACTGTCACTAAGAACATGAATGAAGTACCACAATAGTTTCCAAGCAGTTCATTTGGTCTCTAGACCTACTGAACCATGAAGGAGGTTCCCCTGAACTGGGAAACCAATTTTCGCCAAATGTGGCAACAGCCATTTTCTTGGTACCTTTAACACATTTTTATAATTAAAGAGGGAGGGCGAAAACCTGCCCTCTTCCTCTGGACAAACCCACCTCCCAGTAAAATCAGTGCTGAGTGGGTTTTAACTGTATTGCCTGACTTTATAACGCAGTGATTCCCAAACTTTTTGGCATCATGCCTCCCTTTTCGATTTTTGAAAAACTCTCACCCCTCCCCCCAAAATAGCAGCAAAACTTGTTAAACAAAAACAAAAAAAAGGAACTGAGCAGGGCAGTAAAACTTGATGGGGAGGGGAGGCTGGGTCGCCTCACGCCCCCCTGGAATTTCTTCACACCCCCCATGTTATAATGTATAAGTAAGCCAGGGCAGGGATTGTTGTATGTACATAAGCAGGGTAGAGACCATTTCATCCTCTGTTCTGCACAGCATGGAGCACCTGCAAGTTCTTTTATTCGGATGAGTCAATTATCACACCTGATAGCATGAAAGCTTATCTCCTTATCATGGCTTTGTTTCAACTAATCTTGACGGATCTGCTTGTGAAGTTTCAAGTGTTAACTCGATGCTTCTGAGCAGCACGGAGGATGCAAGGCGGTGTACAGTGACCACACAGTCTAGTTTTTCACACGATTTGAAGTGTCCCAACTCTCTCCCACACATCTGCTTCTCCCCCAGCCCCTCCTGCCACAGCTCTCATGATACTGACATGTGCTAGTGTCTCATTTTCTCAGAAATGACCAGGAGTTAGGGGTTGGTTACTTGGATTTTTTTTCAAAACCTACAAGCTATTTAAGATGTATTGCTACAAAAGAGAAAACATTACTCTCCCTTTGCCAGCAACAGGCATTAGTACAGTAAGTGTTCAGAGTGATCAGCAAAGGCTGAGGTGAAGAGAAGCACTAAAGTGTTGACATTACCAAAGCTGTTTTGAGGTTTTTTGTGTTTGGTTTTGCTCAAAATTTGTATCAGAAACACCTGCTCAACATTTCACATTAAACTTATATACTAAGTAACTGCAAGAAAAGCCTCTCCGTGCCAAGAAATACATGTTGCTGCTGAATCAGAAACAGGCGGTCAACACCTGCAGATATTTAT